ATATAAAAATTATAAAGAATATAGAGTTTATAATGTTTTTAGAGTTTATAAAGATTATAAGAATTATGAAAATTATGAAAATTATGAAAATTATAGAAATTATAGGAATTTCCAATCATAACAGTGATTATAATCAATTTTAATCACTAACAATTAATTGTAATTCCTATTGATGATAAATAATGAAAGTGTTAATAATTGATTGTCAATGGGCATAAGTATAAATCAATTATCAACGGGTATAGAAATTTCCTAATGCAGTATGTCAATTTTGATAAATTAAAATATTTAATAATCAAATTACTTATTTTCATAGTTCTTTTCTTTCAGATGTATTAAAATTTGCTTCAATGATATCTTTAAATAATTGTTTAATAATAAAAGATCCAAATATTATATCTCATTCTTGAATTTAGATAAAAAATTAACTAAGAATTCAGTTACTGTATTAAAGATAGAAAACAGATATAATAAAAGTATTATTAAGTTATTTGAAGTGTTATTTCTCAACGTTGAATTTTTAGATAAGTATTGAAATATGAGTTAATAGATTCTCCAATAAAGATGTAATAATCATTTATAAAGAAAATTTTGATTAAGAATTATAAAATATAAATATTCATAAAGGAGTTATAAAAAAAAGATTTATTTTTGGTAATTTGATCTCAATGAAATAAAAGAATTAATTAAATAATAATAAAAAAAAAGAGAGAATTGATAATTTGAGAATCTACAGAGGGAGCACCAAAATATACTTTAAATAAAGAGTTTTTTACTTTTGATAAGAGAGTCATATAAGTTGAAAGAGAGAAATAAACTAATAAAATTGATCAGTACAAAAATAAATATTTAAACCTATACCAATTTTGATAGAAATTGTTAAAGAATTTTATCAATAATTAATTAATAGGAGTTATTAACTAAATATAAAGGTATCAATATTTCTATACTTGTAATCATATATTCTAGTACTTTTAATATTAAAGAAAATAAATTACTAAAAAAAATTTCACTTATTTAGAGTTGCAATATACAAGTATACAATTTTAATATTATTTATTTAAAATTATGATGCATAACTATATAAAAATAATGCTATAGCAAATCAATATGCTTATCCAAAATATTTTAATCATTTTTTTCAAATTTAAAGACAAAAATATAATAATTAAAAATTCAATTTTATATAAATCAATATTCAGTTTCTTGATTTTGCTCAAGATTTATAAAAAATAACTTGAATTACAAGATTTGAAATTCAATTAACAAACTATTTTTGTCAGATAATTTGATTCAATAGAAGAAGATACAAGAATAAATATTAATTTTATAACAATAAGATAATTATTAACTTATTATATTAAAGATTAAAATTTATTAATTTGTTTGAAGCATGAGAGAAAGTATGTTAAGACAGTACTTCTATTTATACAAAATTTTTCAATACATTTCAAGATAAAAAAATAGAAATCACACACTCTTTCATGCTTCAAATAAATTAATAAATTTTAATCTTTAATACAATAAGTTAATGATTGTCTTATTATTATAAAATTAATATTTATTCTTGTATCTTCTTCCATTGAACCAAGTTGTCTGTCAAAAATAATTTGTTAATAGAACTTCAAATCTTGTAATTCAAGTTACTTTTCATAAATCTTGAATGAGATCAAGAAACTGAATATTAATTTATATAGAATTGAATTTTTGACTATTATATTTTTGTACTTTAAAATGTATAAATTAAGTATCAAGTTGTATTTAGAGAGATTTCTTTGTATAAGCAATCCAGGTTTAATAGATAATCTTTTCATCCAGGTGTATCTATTGATCACCCGGATGATCCGTGGGTTGAACCGTCGGGTGACTATTCTATATATTAATTCTAAAATAAAAAAGAAATTAGAAATAAAATGCTGCATTTTATTTCTAATTTCTTTTACCTTAGAATTAATATATTTTTTTTTAGATTAGGTCTGATTTCATATTTCTATAATTTATTTATGAAGCAAAATTAAAGCAGAGAATTTTATCATATGCAGATTTTAATCTAAAATAAGTTAATTCTCGTTCAAATACAGTGTAAATAACGAGAATTTAATTTTCGATTGCTAAGAAACTAAAACTATTTGAGATTTAAAGATAACTTTATTAAATTCATTAAATTGTCTTTTGTTATTGTAATTTGCTTAAGAATTCAAAAAAAATCTTATTAGTTACGTCAAAGGTTTTTGAATAACTTCAAGTTCAGCTTCATCAAATATGAAATTAAATATAAATCGGCTCTTTTTCTCGTTTCTCTCGTGCTTTTTCTCTCACTTTACGTTGTTCTTCACGATGTGCCACTAAATCAATAAGTCCGAACCTACGATCACGAGGTTCTGTTGGGTTTTTTGGAAGTTTGTCGTCGCGATGAAATACGATACCGACGAATTTCCTTTTAGGCCATTGCGGATCAGTGTAGAATTTCACATATCCAGGTTCTTTTGCCCATAAAGTAAAGTCACGACCAACTTCAACCTATTTTATTATTATTTGTATTTATCTATAATTATTCTCATATAAAATCTAGAAGAAAGCTCAAATAAAATATTACATATTGTCCAGGATGAAATACTGTGCCTCGCTGTCGCACTATTATTGCTCCCGCTTTAGCGTGTTCACCTGTATTTCACAAATAACAAGAATTTGATATGGATACATTTAAAAAAGAGAGTGCAAAAAATAAGTGTTCGAATTCTTGTTACCACCAAATAACTTAACACCTAGACGTTGACCTGGGGAGTCACGGTTATTGTGCGTAGACCCTCCTGCTTTTTTGGAGGCCCACCTTCTTTGTTTTAGGTGCTGCTGCGATAAAACCGCTAAATAAATAAGAGCATTTTTTCTTTAATAATAATATTTCATTAATAACGACATGTGAATAAATAGTTTTTTACCATTTTTCCGAGAAAGCGAGCTGATGAAGGGTTGTAAAGTATCTTCGAATATTAAACTACTTTTTGAGTATACAACACGATAAAATACAGTCATAATGCCCAAATCAAAATAAAGCATGATTTATGTGATTTAAGATGGACATGTAATCATCCTGTTCCGTTTTTTTCTTTTTCGCTAAAAATGCCAATTTCTATGCATAGTCATTCTGGACAATTTTGTGCACACGCAAAAGGAAATTTGGAAGAGGTTGTCCAGGAAGCGATAAATAAGAAATTTCTAATTTATGGACTATCGGAACATTGTCCCAGATATCGTGTCAAAGATTTATATCCTGAAGAGGTACATGTCAGGATACGAAAAATTAATATTAATTCAACTAGAGAGACATGAGTATTGATTAAATACATTTCTATTTTTTTAAGTCTCATCTTCACCCCTCTGATCTTTACAAAACATTTAAAGAATATGTAATAGAGGCGCGTCGACTACAATCAAAATATAATTCAGAAATAAAATTAATTATAGGACTTGAATCTGAAGCAATCACTATTAATACTGCTTCTAATGAAATTTCGAAACTTGTTCGTGAATTTCAATTAGATTATGTGGTTGGATCGGTGCATCATGTTTTTGAGGTACCTATTGATATTGATTCGGAGACTTTTGAGAGAGCGTTAGAAGAAGCTGAAGTGGAAGGCAAGAAAATAAATTACAATAATGACGGGAAGAGTGATGATAATAATATTAAAAATAGTAGTGATAGTAGGGAGGAGATATTATTTTCTGCTTATTTTGACGCACAATATAAAATTCTATGCGAGATAAAACCAACCATCGTGGGTCATTTTGATGTGATTCGGATATTTAGACCGACATGGAAGTTTGGCACGCGAGTGTGGGAAAAAGTTGTACGTAATGTAGAATTTGTGGTGTCTTATGGAGGATTATTTGAATTGAATTCGTCTGGATGGAAGAAAGGGTTAACGGACGCATATCCTCAACGAGATATATTAGAGGTAAAATCTAAGAATAGTTTACCGTTTTCAATTCATTCATTCATTTATTTATTTATTTATTTATTCATCTAAAAAACTATAAAAAGTTAATCATCAAAAAAGGCGGTAAATTTACAATATCCGATGACAGTCATGGACCAACAAGTGTTGGACAAAATTACGATAAATTGTACAAGTATTTGAAAGAATTTCAGATTGATACGATTTACTATTTAGATCATGAATATGATAAAGACGGGAAAAAGCTGGTAGTGAAAAAGTCGTTAAAAAACATCTTGAGTCATCCTTTTTGGCAGCAGTTTATTAGTTCCGCAGATTCTCGGTAAAGAATAAAAACTCAATTTTCGCAATTTAATTTATAGGTGATCAGAAGATAATCATGTCTCTGTCTGATTCATCCAATTATAAAAGATTTGATATGTTTACTCATTTTTCAAATAAAGATTAAACACCTACACGAAAATGATCTATTTCCGATAAGTATTAACATCGATGAAACAATTGTTGTTATTATATAGTAAAAATTCCCGCGTACTAAGCTATGAAAAAAAGTCAATAAATAGCGAGTAACTTGTTAATATATATGAGATTGGGATCGGGGAATATGGTGATAATTACGTATATAACTTATATATGTCCCTGATGATCATTTGATACCAAAATTCTGGCATTTATGACAAAACAGAAGGTTCAATTTTCATTCAAACTTTACAAAGCAAAAAAATAAGCAGAGAATAGAAAGAAAAAGTAAAGTAGAAAAAAAGCAGAATAGAGAAAAAAAATTAATTAGGAAATAAAATATCCAGTTTTCAATCAGAAAAAAATATCGAAAAAAAACCAGAAAATCCTTTGACTTAAATTTCGGAAACTAACTAGAAAATATTAAAAAATACAGCTTTTTCCTGAAATTGAACATTTTTCAAGCATTTCCTAACTATAATCATTTACTTCAAGTAAATCTACAAATAGTATCTGATTTAAGAAATCAAAAAGTGAATCTTCCAAATTATTTACAAAAGTAATTTCAAATTCATTATTTTAGAAATTATGAATCAATGATTTTGTTAAAAATATAATTTGATTTATTAACTTTCAAAGCTTAAAAAAACATTTGGAAACAACAAATTTCCCGATATGCTGAATAACATCTGCACTTAGAAATTTATAAAGGAATTATGCTACAAAATTTACGTCATCATTTTTAACTGCATCATCCCGTGACTGTAATGAAAACAGTTCACTTGTGAAGTTTAGCTAATAGCTACTCTCATTTTTCCGTCCAACCATCTGTCCCAAACCTCAGGCCCTCAGGTATCCAAGCATTCAGTATTTTTTGTGTTTATGCGATTTCAAATTTTCATTTCCTAAACTTTAGTTATAAATTTGAAAATTTTAGATACTCTGAAAATGATCCTTGACGATTCTTCCTCAAAAGCTTTGAAGGAATATCTCATTCAACAATTAGAACCAATGTACAGTTTCTTTCCTTTGAGACAACATTTCTCTATTAATATATTTTGTTCTAGGTTCATGTGCAAATATTCTTTTCATTAACACAAGGTTCAAATAATTAATTCTTATAGAAGCGACGCAGAACCTGCAGTACTTGCAGAATATGTTCTTGCCTTATTGAAACACGATGTTTCCAGTCAAGATCTAAGACAACTCTGTATAAGCCAACTTGATGATTTTTTAAAAGAAGGTATTGTGTTTGAATTCTCAGTAATCCGGCCCTTTTTTTCATGTGAATTTAATTAATTGATAATTATGGCTTTATTATAGAAACGGAACCTTTCGTCCGCAAACTTTTTAACGAGTTATTTAATAAAGAGTATTTGGGTGAGAGAATTTCCTCCCCTTCAACAAATCATTATGAGCCGACTCCCAAAATTCCATATTTTACACCGGCTGAAAAGAAATCTTCCAAAACTTTAACGCAACAGGAAGACAGCAAAGCTGAAGTCGTTTCTCAAAAAACAAAGGTTGGTGATGCAAAAAAGCGAGCAGATAGTGAAGCCTCTGAAGATGATGACGATCGAAATTTCAAACATCGAGAGCGTGACGGAGAAAATCGAGATGATCATCGACGTCATGCTGAACGACAATCTAGTTTTAGTAGTCGTGATGAAGAAAGGGAAACAACAAAAAATAAAAGAATTCGCGGTGACAGTATTCCAACTGGACCTGCAGCTGAATATAATAATAATTTTCAAGATGACCGCTCTTCCAAACGTCGTCGAGACGAATCCGAGGAAGATTTTCGGTCAAATAAAATGCCTCGAAGCAATATAATAGGGCCCAATAATCAAAATATTAGTAGTGGAACCGGTAATAATAGTAATAGCAGCAGCAACAACAGCAGCAGCAATAACAATAACAACAATACCAATAATAACAACAATAATGGTTATACTCCAAATAATACTGGGATAGGATTCAATGGCGGACCTCGGCGCTTAGACTATGAAAGGAATAATCGACCGAGCAATCGAAATTTTATTCCAATAACACCTAACCCTTCCGTATCTAATATAAGTGGACCTGGTAGATGGGGCAACGAATGGGGTGCTAATGGTATAAATGGATTAGGAGATCGTTTCGATGATAGAAAGATGCGTGGTGGAAGAATCAATGATCGTGGTAGTGCTCGAGGTAGGCCTTTAGTTGTGAATCGTGGGGGATTTCCTGATATTAGACCAAATAGGCAATCGAGATGTCGGGATTATGATGGTTGGTATTATTTATTATTGTTGTCGTTGATTATGGGGAAATTGTTTTTTATTAATATTATCTATTTTACAGAAAAAGGATACTGCATGCGTGGCGATCTGTGTCCCTTCGATCACGGAGTTGATAGAATCGTAGTGGACGATGTTCCTTTAAACCGTCCCTTTGAAATAATACCTCCAATTACTGGCGCACCTTTAGCAGCGAATGTTGGTATGATGGGTGCAGGAAGACCACCTTTCTTCATGGGTGCAGGAGGTGTACATAATCAATTCGAAATTGAACCTCCGTTCCGTAAGTTTGAAAGATTATCAATTTATAATAACGAAATTGAAACTTCTTAACGCTAAATTCTAAATTTATTTTATTGAATACAGAAAACCAGCAATCTTCTCGCTCAATGACCCCAAATGCTGATGCTTACGATCCTGAGCGTGCTGCTTTATCAAGACCAGAAGATTTAATATCACCAGTAACTGGGGAGAATAAGGACATTGAAATTCAATCGAATTCCGACATCTCGAAAGCAAATTCTAGTCTTTCACTTTCACCTACTACACCAAACACACCCCATTATATTGAGCAGCCTAGCCCACATTCTACACGAAATACTCTTTTCAGGGGACGTGCACGTGGTCGTGGTGCTCGTGGGGGTATCAATCGTGCTGGAAGTGGAAGTGGCCAAGCCAATAAAAATTCAACTTTAGTTGTTGAAAATATTCCTGCAGAAAATTGCACCATCGATAAAGTAAATGAGTTTTTCAAGAAATTTGGTACCATTATCAATATCAACGTTGATCCATCCTTTCAAAAAGCCATTATTCAATTTAATACAAGCCAAGAAGCTTCCAAAGCATATAACTCTCCGGAACCGATCTTTGACAATCGATTTGTCAAGGTCTATTGGCACAAAGCAGATAAGGAAGAACATCCAGTTACAAATCCCTTATTAACAAAGCAAGCGGTTGTTCCTGCAACGAAACAGGAATTAGCTTCGCAGTCTTCTCCAACTGAAATTCAAGTTCTCTCCGTCTCTGAAAAGCAAAAAGAAATGGACGAAAAAGCAAAGAAACAAAAAGAAAATCTTAAAGCAATGCTTGAAATTCAGAAAAAAAGAGAGGAGCTAATTCAGCGCCAAATAGAAGAACAACATAAATTAATTGAACTTGCCAAGAAAAAAACTGGCGACGCAAAAGGCCGTGAAGAACTTTTTGGCAGCTTGAGCAAAATTTCCGAAGACATAAAGAAAGACACGAGTAATACAGTCATTAAACCAATCATTACTGGATCAACGCCACTTCTAAGCAGTGGAACCCTTTCTAAAAGTATTATGGAGGAAAAAGAACGGGAACGATTAGATCGTGAACTTGATTTGTTAAGTAAATTAAATGAATCTGGTGGCGCTCCTGATTCCGCTCTCGGTAAGCTATCCTTGGCTGATGCTGCACAAGCAAAATCAGAATTAGCAAAAGTAGAGGTATGACTATCAAAGTTGATTTGAAAATGCGTTATTTCTGTAAGTTTTTGTTAATTTTGATACTTTTTAGGGTGAATCAACGACAACTATCGGCAGCACTAATAATTTAACTGATTCAACATTCTATAAATCTCGCGGACGAGGAGGAATTTTCGGATATCGTAGTAGGGCGCGTGGACTTTGGCCTCGCGTGCGTGGCGGAGGAGTCACGCGTTCCTATAAACTTGATAATCGGTCTACTAAATTAATCGTGAAAGAAATACCAAGTGGTTCTCAAGATACGCTTCGTAGTTATTTTGAGGTTGGTTAACAGCAAATATCAATAAAAGAAGTTCAAAATATGCAAAATCAAATAAAAAAGAAAAATTAAAAATAAAGTAAAACAAAAAACAAAATGAACAAAAAAAATTAAAAAAGATAAATTCAAAGAATTTCATTACTTATGCGCTACTTCTCTATATCAGCAATTTGGAGAAGTCGAATCATTGAACTTTATCGAGGAAGCTCGATCGGCGATAGTCCAATACAAAAATAGACATGAAGCCGAACAGGTTTGTTAACACATTTAATAATATAATTGAATAAACATTATTTGTATTGGTTTGTTATATTAAAAAGATGATTTTTTTTTATTTATTTCGCAGGCCCTTATTAAAGGGCGCAACATACCAGACGTTGGTAACGTATCCATCAATTGGCACATTGAAACAAATGCAAACGCAAACACAAACACAACCGCGCCAACTTCCGAATCTAAGAATACCGCAGTCGAGCGTAATGCCGATACTAATGGTGATAGTGAAGTGGTCGGGACAAGAACTGGAAATGAATTATTACCATCATCATCATCATCTGAAACACCTGCCATAAAATCTGAAGTCGTATTTGATGAAGTTGATGAAGATGATGACGACGAAGAGCGTGATAGATCCTGGAAACGTTGACTTATTAAAATTTTTATGTATTGTAGTTATATATACATTTTGATTGGTTTTACCTTGTTGCTGCTGTTTCGGAGGCTAATTTCTTCTTAATCTTTCAAATAATGTTGTATACATTTGTATGTTTTCTTTAAAAAATTATTTGTCTCATTAACGTTAGCAATTATTGCTTGTTTAAATAATTAATTATCATTGGATAAACTTTCAAAATGACATCATCTTATATAATACGTATATAACTTGAAACCTGAAAATATATAAATATCGATATGTATCACTCATAAATTTTCTTTGAAACACTGATCGTTCTGTTGTATTTTTCAAAACTCAAAAGATGCAAGCTTCAACCTCAGCAACACAATCTGATGATTTGTCAGAAGATACTGCCTCGGAATTTTGGTCACAGAAAACTGCTTTAGAAAAGGTACGTTGCTTTTCAAAGCTACATGGTGTAAAGTTTTTATATTTGGAAGCAGTTAGTTGATCTATCTAAGAATCCTCCCTAACCGGTCGGAATTGCAATTCCCAAGTTATAATGAAGCGTGCTCTGAAAGACGGCAGTTTTCTCAGGGTTGTTGATTTCATTCACCAATGTTAATAGAGTGTAACAAGGATCGTTCAATGATGACCACGGAGAAAATAGACACCCTCCGATTAAATTAAACTGGAGTTTGCTTTAATAAATAATACTGAAATTAATTTAACTATAATAAAAAGCTCTAGTCTTAATTCATTATATTAATTTTTTCCCTTTGTGGCTTATTTATTTATAGCGATATCAAAAATTTCTTGATGAAGTAACTCCATATACCGGGTATAGATGGTTTGGTACCGTCACTCTAGTAATATTGTTCGTAATTCGTATTTTCACAATCCAAGGCTTTTATATAGTTACTTATGTAAGTATAGTAGTATCAAAAAAATTATTGCATTATAAAATAAATATAAATTAATTCTGTCGTTTGGTATATTTGTTTAGGCACTGGGGATTTATCTCCTCAATTTATTTCTTGCTTTTTTGCAGCCAAAGTTTGATCCATCTCTCGAATTAGACATAGCAGAAAGTGAAATAGAGGAAGGACCATCACTTCCCACTAAAGCGGACGAAGAATTTAGGCCATTTATTCGACGATTACCAGAATTTAAATTTTGGTAATATTTTTTATTTCCATTATTAAATCGAAAGGGAGGCAACAATTAAATCATAATATTAACCTCGATTTTAAAAATAGGCATTCTGCAACAAAAGCGATTATCATATCTTTATTTTGCACATTATTTTCACTATTTGATATTCCTGTGTTTTGGCCAATATTACTTGTATACTTTTGTATTCTGACTGCAATTACCATGAAACGACAAATCAAGCACATGATAAAATATAAGTAAGTATTATATTTCAAATTTTGGATTTGAGACTATTATATATCTACATTTATAATAACAATTTTATTTTTAATAGATATGTACCATTTGATATTGGGAAGAGGTCATATAAAAAATAATTAGAAGAATCAAACTCGATACAAATGGAGAATCTAATTAATAATAAACAATTAATAAATAATACGTATGTTTAAACATTTAGTATTACTATTTTTTAATGCGTGTGACAAGCATAATTGTAAGATCGTATAAAATGAGAATTTTCGGAGAACGAAATTTCTGTAAAATGAGCATAATACCACCAAAAGAAGCAACCAATTTTATAGAATTCGTTAACAATTCACCTTCTCCCTTTCATGCGGTAGAAGAAGCCCGTGTGCGTTTATCCGCCGCTGGATATAAAGAAATATGTGAACGAGAAAGCTGGAATAACGTCCTCGAGCTAAATGGCAAATATTATTTTACTAGAAACAGGAGTACAATAGTTGCATTTGCCATTGGGCGTAAATACAAAACAGGAAACGGTATTTCGATTGTTGGAGCTCATACTGATTCTCCTTGCTTGAAATTGAAACCAATTTCAAAGAAAGAGAAAGTTGGGTATTTGCAAATTGGTGTTGAAACTTATGGTGGGGGTATTTGGCATACATGGTTTGATCGTGATTTAAGTGTCGCTGGACGTGCGATTGTCGACGATGATGGAAAACTTATTAGCAAGTTAGTTAGAATTCGGCAACCTATTCTTCGGGTGCCTACACTGGCTATACATCTTGAGCGTGATGTTAATTCTGCAGGATTTAAATTCAATAATGAAAACCATCTCTGTCCCTTGATTGCGACTGTTACGAAGGATTTGACTAAGCCTGGAAAATCAGAGAAAGATGATGATACAGGAAATCCGTTTATCGTAAAGCACCAACCTATATTGATAGAAGTTTTAGCCAAAGAATTAGACGTCAGGGTTGATCAAATCAGGGATCTTGAACTTTGTCTATACGATACCCAACCATCGACAATCGGGGGAGTTTATAATGAATTCATTTTCTCTGCTCGTCTCGACAACTTGATGATGTCATATACTGCATTAACAGCTTTAATTAACAGTACATCTGATCCTGATTCATTATCAAATGAACATAATATTAGAATGATTGCCTTATTTGATAATGAAGAAGTTGGAAGTACGTCAGCTCATGGGGCTAACTCGAGTCTTTTAGAAACCACTATTCGAAGATTGGTATTTTCAAATATTAGAGGGAATATTCAAGAAACGACTTCTCATACAATATTCGAAGAAACAGTGCATAAGAGTTTTTTTATCAGCGCGGATATGGGACACGCTGTACATCCAAATTATTTTGAAAAACATGAAGAAAATCATCGTCCAGAGATGCATAAAGGCGTTGTAATTAAAGTAAATTCTAGTCAACGTTATGCCACAACAGCGGCAACAACGATTGTATTACGAGAAGTTGCTGAAAAAAGAAATATTCCGCTTCAAGAATTTGTTGTTCGTGCTGATACTCCCTGTGGATCTACTATTGGGCCAATGATTAGTGCTAATTTAGGAATACGCACAATTGGTAAGTAGATAAAAAATAATATCTTACCGGGTTTATTCTGTGAATTCCTGCTAACCCATAATCCCATTAAAAGATGTGGGTAATCCACAACTTAGTATGCATTCGATTCGTGAAGTTGCTGGTACAGATGACGTTGGACATGCAATCAATTTATTCAAAGTATGTACCTGTGAATATTAAAAGCTTTTTTCCTCTTATTTATATGAACGAATTACCTGTTAACGTAAAATTGATCATTTTGCCAGACATTCTTTGAAGAATTCCATGAAATCGACCAACGTGTGATTGTTGACTAGACAAATAAATAGGAAAATTGATTATATAAATAAATGTGTTGTGTTGTGCGTAATAAATATTATTTTTCGGAACTCGTACGCTTGTATTAGTATTAAGTAGCTCAATAAGTATAATTGATAGTATTGTACTTGTAGCTTCCCTAACGACAAAATCCAGCAGCATATTCAAGATGATGATCATGTCAAGTTCGTTCTCTGATAATTCGGATCAAGCATATATTCGCACCTATTTAATATAAGTAAAAAAGTGAATTTAGGTGAAGGATTTTACACAAATTCCCACTCCTTAATTCCATCACAAAAATTCAGAATTTTGTAAAGGAGGTTACTCGAGCGATCAATTTTCTTTGCTTCTCAAGCAATTCAGATAGATAACAAGAAATTACTCGGTCGTCAGTCATTCAGTCATATTCAGCAGCATTTCCCTAAAGAAAACAACAATAACAGTAAACCTGATTTAATAAACATCATCCTAATATGACTAATAGTAATAATAATAATAATAATAATAAAGTGAAAAAAACCACCGCACAAAATGAGAAATAAAAAAACCATAAATGAGTAATGAGGTAATTAAAAATTTGATAATTCTGCTATATACAGAAATATGGAAAAACTAGGGTAGAAAGGTAACATAATATCACAAGAAAAATACATAATTAGAGAAATGCAATCGAATATAAAACCGTCAGCAATTTAAAATAATATTTATATATATTCCGCGAGCACCTCTGGACACCTTCCCTTTCCCTTTCAACACACCAAACCGCACAGCCCTCAAAATAGAAATAATACGAGAAAAGAAGTAATAAGCCCAATATATTCTAAAACCACCCTTTAAAGAAATTAATTCATAAAAAAAAAAAAAAATGTCCTCACCCAAATTAAGAATTACCAGTTTAGCAGTGGTAGATTCCTCCTTTAATATCCATTTGATCCATCGCTATTATTAGGCATTCCACATTTTGCACAGTGTGTTCGCTTTGCAAAATTATGATAACCACACATTTCATTATGGCATAACCAGTCTCCGGGTTTCATATTAGCAGTATTAACAGCATTACCAGCCACTTGAGGTGGTTTCGGCAATCCACAACGAATGCATTGAAATCTTGATGCGAAATTATGAGAGCTACATGAAGGACAATACCAATCACCAGGTCGGAATGGTGCTGCAGCTGGTGAAGAGGGATGACCACTGGCACCACCACCTCCACCATATCCTCCTTGATCGCTAGAATATCCGTCATATCCCATATGATTGGCTGATCCACATCTCATGCAATGGGTTCTGGAAGCAAAATTCTGAAAAAGACAGCTTGGATTTGGACACATCCAATCTCCTGGTCTGAATGCTATATTTCCGGAGTGAGATGGCCCGTAAAGATTGGCAGGTTTGTAACTACCACATCGTAAACATTGAGTCCTTGAAGCATAATTATGAAAATTACATTGTGGATTCGGACACATCCAATCACCTATGGTGAAATTAGGTGGGGTTGCAGGAGCAGGATTAGGATTGTGAGTATTACATTTGAAACACGTTCTCCGAGAAGCGAAGTTGTGGAATTGACACGCTGGGCACACCCAATCACCAGGTCGAAGTCGAGTTTTAGTCATCTGTGATATTATTAAGTATAAATAAAATATATCAAATATATAATTGCAGAATAAAAAAAAATAATTACCGGAAATGGAGCTAAAATTGCCCCGGCTGCTTCAATTACTCTTTCACTACTTGGGCTGACTTCAATTGCCCTATCACCTAAAGTCCTACCGTTCATGTCTAAACACGCCATCGCATCATCATGTGTCGCAAATATACCGAATCCTGTTCCACTAGGTTTTTGATGATCTGGTGTTCTGATCATCCATAACATTCCTGGTCTAACGCCTTGACCGGAGAACCACGCTTCTAATTCAGGTTGAGTAACATCGTAAGGCAATCCAGCCAAATGAATTACCTTTGATTGTTCTTTTTTGAATTGATTCAAATCCGCGTTGGTATCGATCGGATTCACAAATACGTCAGGATGACCAAAAGAACAAAAGTACCGAATAATGTTGACCATTGTCAACGAATCGTTCAACCCAGAATGTTGTGGACCCACAATCTGTAATTCAAAAGCCGAACACATTTCTCCCAATGATTGACTTTTTAATGTTACATCTGGATGATGCACTTGCCAACGTTGAAATTCCTGTTTCAAATCAAACATCCTGCAATGCGCTAAATACGAAGGCAATTCAATATGCTTATCCCTTGCTTCTCGAGGCAATTGAATTCTGAGATCCCATGCACCATGTGTACAGAAGCAGAAAGTTTTTGAATTTGCAATTATAAAAGATTGGATGTAATTGTCCATGGACTTTATTGCTTCTTGAAGAGTTCCTGCTTTATCAAGATTTTCCCAAGTAATATTGGTAAGAGAAGTACAAAATGAAGTTAAAGGCGTATTTTCTGGTTTGACGTATTGACTGTGTTGATAAACCTAAGTATACAATAAAAAAAATCCTCTTGACGGTTAATATTTTTTAATTACCAACATTAAAATTCATTAACTATTATCAATTGATTAGCTTAGCTATTTACATACCACTTCTAAAGTGCTAGTATCAACTACAACCCAGGCAAACTCGATAATTTCCGCCGTTTCCTAGTAAACGAATAGCACAGGTGGAAGCCAAGTCCAATCAAGGCTCGTTAGAGATGCACAATACCTCTCAAAATGCCAAAGAAAAATAAAAATCAGGATTGGATTCGAGAACGCGCCCAGCGACCGAAACCAAGCCAAAACAACTCAAATGCAAATTATTTTCAGCAAAATTCCGTTTTTTAATTACCTTAGTTACTTGTAATGCTTGAGGGTTTGGGTTTTCGTCACAAGTAGCTTCGAAATCAATGACCACGAGGTAATCAATCCCAGGACAGTGAACATTTTGTGTCGTTGTCATTATAAATATCAAAATATATACATGAAAATATAACAACTAATCTCTTTAATTACAAAATATAAAATTAATCGATTGGTGTCACGATATTATAAAACTGCAATATAATTTTCGAATTTTGAAATTTAATGTATCAATTCTAACGAAGGTTGAAAAGGAAAGACACCAGCCAAATGGACTTTCAAAATATCTCCGATTTTGGCATTATAAGATGTTTTGAGTTTAGCATTAATACCAAATTCTCTTACTAAAGCTCCATATGCTGTTTTTTCACCATTGATATCTTCAAGAGATATACATGACAATTCAGGTAGATTATTAGATTCACTTAAACGCTTTATTAGCATACACACCCAAAACTTCGTACTCCGCATATCAACTTTTTTCGATTCTCTTTCTCGATATTGAATATGTGGCAACATTTGAGAAATCTGTTCTGTTGAAAAAGGAGGTTTCATATCCAATAGTGATGCCTTAATTTGCCAATGAGCAACAAGATCGCTGTAACGGCGTAAAGGGGAAGTGACTTTAGAATAACCATCGAGGATACCCATAACCCAATGATGACCCGGTCTAGTACTAATTTCAGCAGATGACATTATGGATCGAGCCTTCAATGCTGTAACAGGAGGCAAACAACCAGTATTTAAATCTATTTGTGATAAAAGTTTTTCCACCTTAATAGAGTTCGGAATTTGTTGATTTCTAAATATGATCGGAACTTTATGCTCTGCACAATATCGAGATGCGACGCGACCAGCCATTATCATGAGTTCTGCCACCATCAAACGCGAAGGAGAATGCGAAAATCTATCAAGACTCGTCTCGATTATAGGAAGTCCGGAGAACTCTGAAGGGGAATTGGGATTTGGTGTGGTGATAGGCAAAGGACTCGGTGATACACTAACATTACAAGATGGCAGAGAGAAATTAAACCCCCCATTTTTTATACGATTTCTCATGTGTATCAAAGTAAGCTTTTGCAAATCTAAAAGATCTTTTTGAGAATTTTTTAATATTCTCTTTGTATTATCATTGTTACTTTTAATATCTTCGCATAAGCTGATCGGTCTTGGATGAAAATAGAAATTTTTTCTAAGTGACATTGCTTCTTCTTTGCCGCCAGGGATGTTATCCCATGATAGAATTGTATCAACAGCATCATAATTCAATTTCTGAATTCGTCGAATTATCCCTGGTCGAACTTTGTAATCCAAAATTTGACCGTCATTACTCAATTTTATACTAAAAGACATAACCGAATTGTCACTTCTTTCTGCATTAACTCCTAAACTAAATCTTTTCTCACTTAATATAGCAGGAATCATTGGGTAAACTCTCTCTGGGAAATAAACAGTTTGAACACGACGGCTTGCATCTTTAGCAAATTGATGATCTGGATGAATATAGGCCGAGGGATCAGCAATATGAACATGCACCCAAAATCCGCTAGAATTTGATTCATGAGGATTAATTCGTTCTATAGAAACACCATCATCGATTTCATGTGCTTTAATATCATCAATAGTATAAACCTGTGCATCACCAAAATCATAACGAATCTCTTCACAAATATCTCGTGGATAGAATTCTTCTGCTCCGAGATTTGGCAGAGATTTAATCAATAACGGTGAATCTTTGCTTTTATCATAATTAGACCGAAATGGTGATCGAGTATTGATCAGATTCTTGGCTAAATTCAATGAATGTTTAATTGCTTCATCTCTTGCCTTGGACATGCCATGTCCGTTTAATTCCATAGATGTTTCATATACAGATAAATTTTCCCATGGTGCCCACATACCAATATCAATCATGAATTGAATAGCACAATCGCGGTCTAATAATCCTTCGTATAGTTTGAGAGGTTTCAGAATCGCAGATACAGGAGCGTCAAACGACATTTGTGATATAGTTTCTTTCGAAAATATAAATGTACGAATAAATCTTATAAACAATTTATCTATTGAAGAGAATGCGGGTAGAATTTTGGATTGTGTTATTGAAGGAACAGACACTGAATGGTTCTCTGACGCTACTCGTTTTTGCTGAATAATTGACCTTGCTTTTGCTAGAAAATTGTTGAATGCCGAATCTTTTAATCGAATTGAAGAAAGCACTGTTTCAATTGCCTGGACATCAGATTTTGGGCGTAATAGAATTTTTCCAATTCTCACTGATGCGGGATCAGTCACAAAATGAATTCCATCATTTAATAAAAAACTATGCGCCGCAAATAATTGTAAAGTTTGTGGCTGTTCTGTTTTAAATACAAAACGGGCAACATCCTCTACGGTAATTAAAGAATGTTCAGCATCATCAGGTGATGAAAAATGAGAATAAACTTTTCGAAATTCCGGATTCTTTTGTTGTATTAATGTTGTACTCGCTTGAAGAAAATTTGAGGCAACTCTTCCATATGTTTGAGGAATAACCGAGTTTGGAACAAGTGCTGAAGGATTAATCTTCGAATATGCATAAGTGGGGATTCGAAAAGATACGTCGTCTTCTCGATGAAGTAGTTCACGTCCATTGGGTAATAAAGTGGTGTTCTTGTCAATTCCATCTTCGCGATCACGAAGTTTGATAAGTATACCTACAAAAACTTTTCCATATCTTATACAAATTTAAATATCATTAAAAATAGTTTAAAAAATAAATTTCATGCCTATATATTAAAAGTTACCTTCTTACTTTCTTACTTCAACAAAATCCCCGATTTGAAGCTCGACTTTAATCGTAACGGTTTCGTCAAGATCTAAGGCAGTTTTGTCCAAATTTTCTGTTAAGCTATCACAACTGTTTTTGGATTCAGGTTTACTATGTAAACGTGAATTTTTTTGCAAATACAGATCATCCTTGGGAAGATTAACCCAGTATGGTATTTGGTTAGAAGGAGAACTTTTTTTAAGACGAACGTTAACTTGTGAAGAATCTTGTTTATCAGATTTGTCTGATAAACGATCTTGGTCTAGATGAATGCGCGAGTCATTTTTAGGACGAACATTAACTTGTGAAGTATCTTTTTTATCTGCTGAGCTATCTTTTAAAGAGATCTTACTCAAAGATAAATTTAAGCGAGCTTGTTGAACTTGTTTCTGGGAGTGCGAATCGTTTTTCACTATGATTAATGGAGGCTGGACCTGTTTTTGAGATTCCACATTAGAAAAGATTTGAGCAGATTTCTTTATGGTTTTTAGAGAAAGTTTGTGAATGTTTTCCTTTTTCTTAAGTGGGATATTATGAGTAAAACGTGAAATTAAGAAAAAATCACCAAAAGTTCGAAATTGTTCAGATGTTTTTCGTGACAATAATAACATTACGCGTTTTGAGAAAAATTGGAAAAATTAATACTCGGGGTGCACGATATTATCCTATGTGGGGTGTGTCAAACTTACACCGAAAAATTATGTGTGTCACATGACAAATCCGACACAAAAATAAAAAAAAATTATCAGGGATAGGTTCACGATATACCATAATCATCTGATCATATAGTCTCTGGTAACAGCGTGAATATTATTATCGATAGAATGTATATTTATAAATTACAATATTCAGGCCATTCACAATTACAAGTTTTATTTCGGTTAACCGTCCTCAATGTTAAGGAAATTCTTTCTTTTCTATCTCTAATCTGTCCATTGTCAAGTAAATCACATTTTCTTGCTCTAAAAAAGTTTTCTTTCAATAAGACTAAGAAGGCTAATTATATGACAGTACTTAACAATAATAATCTTACCGGATAGTATGAGTCCAAGCATAACGAGATTCTTTGCTAAGAATAAGTAAAGATCTCGGGGAAAGATCAAGTAGAACAGTATTACCCGTTTTTATTTCCTTAAATTCCATTAGAACGGCACTTTGCAAACTAAGTGACAAAATGAAATCGCCAAAGTATAAATGACTATCAACGTGAGGGGGTATTCCCGCACCAATTGGGTATAATTGAGCAGTCATTTGTTCCATATTTGGTATATCTGGAAAGAGTTTTTTGAGTTTTGAGAGAGGTAAATTCATAAATTCGGGAAATTCTTTTTTATTGTTTGATGAATTATCAAGATCAACTTTATTTGGATAAGTAAACGTATAACCAAAGTGTTGCTTAAGATTAAAAAATAATATGATTAGAAAAGTATTTATGATTCAGACATAATAAACATAAAATATTTAGAATAATTACCACCATTCGATCTTGAACTTGTTGCCAGTTTTGTTTGTTCGAATGTAATTCTTGTATAATTCGTTGTTCGCAATCAAAAGAAATAAACTCTTTCATTATTATTAGTCCTTGGATTTTCTCTGATGGAGGAATTATCTGTGACGAAGATGACGATATCGTTGCAGTTGTTGAAATTTGTTTCATGAAATTGATCCACGATAAATTAACAAATTCAATATAAAGTATTTTGTCGTTAAGGATCTCAGATTTTTTCCCATGAAGCGAATTTCGTGCTATCATGGCATTGCACGATGAATCAAATAATGCAAAAGAATATGGCTATTATCAATAAATTATCATTAATTTCTATAACAAAAGGAAAAATGACAAATTATGGATACAAATAAATGATACCTTGCCATATGCGAATCTCCATCCTTTCCATCCCCCAAATTCCCGAAAAACCTTTTCTAGTTGTTCACCTAAAACTCCAGCAGCACCGCCAAAGCATACATTAACTAAACAGAGATATTGAGTCGGTTCAGTTGAAAATAGTTCATCAGATGTAGCTTTTTCGATTTTTTTTATCACTTCGTATGACTGTAATTTTTTATTCTGAAGTTTACGAAGTCTACGAATTTCTTTGCGAGACATTTAATTTATCAAAAATATGTAGATCCTGGTATTTTGATTATATATACATGTAAATTCTTATTGGTCAGATTAAAGCGCGATATTTTGACACGAAATATAAAGATTCTTTCTTTTCTATACTACTTGAAATTTTAATTACGAGATTCATCCCTCCAGTCTTACCTTTTTTAAAGACAAGTCAAAATGTCCTCTCAACAAGAAAAAAAAGCTAATAATGACGCGTCTAAACAAGTGTCCGATGGCAATCCCTTTGAGGATGCCATCGCGCAAAAACAATCCTTTCGAAAAAAGTCAATAATTACGCAGAAATCAGGAATAGAGTATATCCGTTTATCAAATATTTGATATTTTAAGTTCCTTTTAACAGAACCTAAAACAATTTTCAAAGAATAAGGTCACCAACCGATAGTATCTTGTCTCCTTGTTCGGCGAAATTACAAGAGAAGAAAACGAAAAATTTTAATAAAGTGCAAGTATCAATATATTTATTATCGATCTATTAATCATTTCATAATTATTTATTTATTTCGAATAATTCTTTAGTGGAAAGCCTTTATTCCTTCTCGGTGCATTTGCGAATGCTGCACGTGAAGAAGAAAACTCTAAACTCATTGACGAATCAAATCTTTAAAGTGTCTGTCCTGCAAATTTGAATTACATGTGTGATAATTATTATTATGGATGAAATTGATCAAAAGAAAAGTAATTTCAATATTAGGCGATATTTGATCTAAAATATTCCTTTTCTCTCCAGTTTGTAAGCTATGTGATGGCAATGAGAAATTTGTTGTATGATAGTAAGATAAAGAAGAAAATGAAGTTTACCGCATGGGTTTTTATTATACAAGCGAATTTTTTGTGGTAAATGAATACCACTAATTTTATTTTATATTGAATACAAATTAATTTTGGATTTGACCTCGTGATTTATCCCTGACAACTGAAAATAAAAACCGCAAAGTTCTTGCAAAAAAAAAACTAATATATAATAAATGTTTGTTTTTGATAATTTAGACGAGAGTTGTTGATTTTAGGCGAAGATAGTGGCTTCTTGTTTTGGCAGAGTTTCTGGCAAGTAGATCTTTGTTCCTGTTTGTTTTAGTTTCGCGTCGCGCACTTGGGCGAGGAACTCCTCAAAAAGATACTCTGTATCTTGAGGTCCTCCTTTTGCTTCGGGATGAAATTGAACAGATCGAACGGGTCTGTGAATATGTTGAATCCCTTCGTTCGATCCGTCATTTGCGTTAACGAAATATTTCTTCCAACCAATGGGCATAATATCATCTTTCAAGGCGAAACCTGCAAAATAAAATAAGTCATTAATTCACAAATAAAAAAATTAAAAGAGAATTATCATTTATATTTGATTCTAATAATCACCATGATTTTGTGATGTAATGGCGCACATGCCGTTGGTCATATTAATTGCCGGAACGTTATGACCTCGATTGCCGAAACGGAGTTTGTACACATCCATCCCGGCTGCCATTCCAAGTAATAAGTTGCCCATACAAATTCCGAAGATCGGTTTTTGATAAATTTCGAGCGTTTTTCGTAAAATATTTACGGAACGGATGGCATTCTTTGGATTGCCTGGTCCATTGGAAATGAAAAGGCCATCAAATTGATCAGCTACTTTGGTGAAATCAAAGTCCCATGGAAGAACTGTCACGCTTGCGCCACGCCCCACAAGCGAGCGCAATATATTTTGTTTGACACCGCAGTCTGAGATGAAATAAAAAAATAATTAATTTATATAAAGTAAAGATATCTTCAATTTTATTTTTACTAACCAATGACTGCTATCTTAATGTCTCCAAATGGATTATAAGAAACGGGAACTTTGGTGGAGACTTCAGCCACAAGGTTCCTCGTGTTTGGGTCTTCATATTTTACATTGGTGGTGTCGAGGTTATGGGCTTCCTCACCGACATCTAATCTGGCAAGAGTAGAACCTTGGTCTCGCAATATATGCACTATTGCCCGCGTATCAACTCCAGAAATTGCAGGCACACCATGGCGAGCACACCATTCACCAAGAGATTCGACAGCAGTCCAATGAGAATATTTTGTCGCATAATCATTGACAATGATGCCTTCGACTTGGATACGATCCGATTCGAAATATTCCATTAAACCAAATTTATCTTTAAAAAGCCCAGGAACGCCATAGTTCCCTATTAAAAAAAGACGATAATAAAGGGATAGTTGCAAAATATTGAGTATGTTAAACAGTAATTGCATCATCGAAATTAAGATTAAATAATATATACCAATTAGAGGTTGTGTGAAGGTGAGAATCTGACCCCGATAAGAGGGGTCTGTCATTGACTCGGGATAACCGACCACGGAGGTAGTAAAGACCGCTTCACCAGACACTGAGGTAGGAGCACCAAAAGAAGTTCCTTGAAATATCTGCCCAGTTTTAAGTTTTAATGTAGCGGGTAATGGCTTTGAATATACTTGGGCATATGGAACGGTTGGAGGCGCAAACTCAGAAACAGTATGATCAGTGACGGTGGCCAAGCCACGGTTAAAGATCAATCGTTGAAGAGATCTCAATAAACGAGCGGAGGAATTGTTTCGGACTAAGACTTGCATTTTTTTATAATAGAGCGGAACAAGAATCAAGCGATGTAAAGAAACAAAGATACAAGATTATTTTCTGTCGAGGGAAAAGAGCACGAAGTTTTATATATTATATTCTGTATATTTAATTAATAGGAGTAGTGTATATATATGAAAAGTATGGAAGTAGATAAAAGAACTCAATTTTCAAATGCTAAAGCCTTCCACACTATATATGTGTGCAATGAATCAAGAAAAAGTAAAGAATATTTAGTCATTTCGATGTTAAAGCCAGGCGTCACCTAATAGAGACAATTTAACATGTACACGAACCTTGGTGTGCAATGTAGTCAGCGGCAGTAGTATCACTATAAGGTTGCATATGGGAATAAAGCTAATGGGAAAGCAAAAAAGCGGCTCTCTTATATCAAGAACCAAGACACACAAGTACAACTAGTTTTTATAAGTCAGAGAGCAAACGATGATAGATTGATGGATGGATGATGGATGATGGATGATGGATTACTTTTGTGAGAAGCGATATGACGTTTAAATCATCGTGATTATCTCTTTCGTTCATCTATCTTAATATAATGTATGTATTGTATGTATGCAGTAGATCATCGTGGCATGCTAATCAATTCTTCAATAAGAATATTTGATTTTGTTTATTCATCGTTGCAATCTAACTAAGGATAAGGTAAAAAAGGCGTATTCATGCATAGAGTGATATTATTAGGTTATCGTTATTAGATAACGATAATTTAATTTATGAAGTGATGATGATGATGATGATGTTAGTATGTCAAGATTAAAACGGTGAATTTTGATTTATTATTTACAATTCGTTTATTGGTTAATAATAACTGTTAATAATAATGTCATACGTGATTTTAATCTAGTATTATCGTTATTAAGTGTTTTATGTTAACACGTAACGGGGTCCGTTCCCACCCTCTGGTGTCACCCAGTCGATATTCTGTGATACGTCCTTAATGTCGCATGTTTTACAATGAACACAATTTTGATAATTGATTTGCAATCTTTTCTGACCAGGTTTAGCCTCATCGTCAACAAATTCATAAACGCCAGCTGTTATAGATGAATGATTGTGGGAAAATAAAAACGTGAGATAATCTGCTACTATTTCCACTATTGCATCCAAAATCTAAAAGGTATTTTACCTGGGCAAAAACGTTGTTCTGGGCCACCAAAAATTTTTAAATTTCTCTCGACAGGTAATTTTGGGTCACGTACACGCAAATGTACTGGTTGATTTTCTGTGTGATCTGTGCCACTTCGCGAAAGGTTCTCCAATAAATCAAAAGAGATTTTTCCATCAGGCTTAGGATATTCGATCGGTTTACACTCACTATGATAGACAAATATCACATGAATATTTTAATAGAAATAAAGAATACCAATTATGATCATCTAGGTCACCTAGCAGGTTTCAAAGCAGCATAGTCAGCGTGATGTTTGAATGTCCATGGTACTCTTCCTTTCAAGAATAGAGACTCAACTCCGGTGTATGCGATTCCACCCCACATTCCTAACGAGCCGTTGAAAGAAGGTCTTATATTTCTGATTGTATACAACTCTTTCCATAACCAAGATTCTTGAAAAGATTTCTCATAAGATGTTAATGTAATAGGGTTAGTTGATGACTGCTCAGAACTAATAATAGCATTATAAGCTGCTTCTCCCGCTAGAATTCCAGATTTCATCGCAGTATGAGTTCCTTTTATTTTAGGTACATTAAGAAACCCAGCTGTATCTCCGATTAATGCACCGCCAGGGAATACTAATTTTGGAATAGACTATGGTTTAAAAAAAATGTCAATTTTTCCACTTTCTCATATATAGGATACCAAAATAAAATTAACATACTTGGTATCCGCCTTCAACTATCGCACGAGCACCATAGCTTATGCATTTGGCACCTTCAAAGAATTTTTTAATAGATGGATGATGTTTCCATCTCTGAAAACATTTTTAGATTAGAGTATTATAGAGTAATTTGATAGATTACGAAAAAAAAGAACAAACCTGGAATTCCTTATAAGGATGTAAATAAGGATTTTGATAATCGAGGCCTACCACAAAGCCAGTTGCCATAATATTATTTTCCATTGTATATAGAAATGCACCTCCATAAGTTCTGTAATCCAATGGCCACCCCATCGTGTGAAGGACCAAACCCTGAACATGCTTAGAGGGATCAACTTCCCAAACCTCCTTAACACCGATACCATAGGTTTGAGGTTGTTTACCATCACGAAGATTAAACTTTCGGATCAATGTCTTTGTGAGTGATCCATGACATCCTTCGGCAAATAGTGTAACTTTGGCGTGGAATTCCATACCTCGCTCAAAATTATCTTTTGGTTTAAAATTTTTATCTAAGCCCATATCATTCGTAGCAATACCACGTACACTACCATCTTCATTATAAATTACCTGAATAGGATACAATTTGAATACTTCTTTTTTAAAATGATACTCTTATATAAAAATAAAAGCATAAAATTCGAACCTCACTCGCAGCAAATCCAGGATAAATTTCCACGCCAACTTCTTCAGCCTGCTCCCCTAACCATTTAACCACGTTACTTAAACTAACAATAAAGTTCTTTTTATTATTAAACATAGGAGGATGAGGAAGTGGAATAGATGATTTTTTGAAAAGTAATCTCAAATCATCCTTCAAAACAGGTTGATTTAATGGAGCTCCCCGCTCTTTCCAATCCGGAATTAATTCATCTAACGCTCGTGGTTCAAATACACAACCAGAAAGAATGTGTGCGCCTGTATAGCAAATGAAAAATTCAGTATATAAATATGTGAATGAACTTGCATAGCTTTATCTCACTAACCAATTTCAGCTCCCTTGTCAAGCACAACTACTCTCACTTCTTTTCCTTCCGCGTTAGCCAATTGTTTTATTTTGATGGCGGCTGAAAGACCTGAGGGCCCACCTCCCACAATTACAACATCCGTTTCATCATGTTGCCGCTCCGCTAGAAGTGGAGGATCGACTGCTTTGTCTGAAACGGAAGCGAGACTTTTTACTGAGGTTGTGGAAAATGAATGTCTTTTATTACAATGGGACGACGTTCGAAACTGGTTGAACGCGGGTTCAAGTGAAGATAAGTTTCGTAATTGACCAAAACTCTTTGATAATGACCCCAAAAGAGATTTTTGAGAGATATATTTAAGAGAAGCCATAGCGAAATTCATCGCATTTCTGCCAATCCATTGTTGTTGAAATTCGATTCAGTTCGGTTCGAAATCGAATCTACATCGTAAGATCGATTAAGGATCGATTATAAATGGGGAAAAAAAGTTTCGATCACGTGATGTATATATTATCCGATTCCCGGCCGATCCCTTGGTGAACATATTGAATCATGTAGGTTTTTTTACTTGATCGTCAAAGAAAATAAATTGTCACTAAGACAAATATAAGCGCAATAAATAAAAACAACACATAATCATGCGAAAGTTATTGTATTTTTTTCCGGTTATTGACATGTTATTATTGCAAATGAAATTTTTATTAAACTATAAAGATTAATTGCAATTAATATAATCAAAAGACAAGCTTTCCATTTTTTGTTTTCCATGTACTTTGCTGTATATGAGCACTCAATTTCTTCTCACACTCCTCAATGGCTTTAACAACAGGTTTCATAAGAGCATCAAACATCAGGAATTTGAAATACTAGCAGAATTGTGGTAAACTTTGAAAGATGAAGAAAAAAATCCAGTTTAAAGAAATGCAAATATCTCCGCATGCAGCAGACCAAATTAAATGAATTTGATACCATTAGAAAGGTCTAGTCAAGGCGCATCTAATGGTATCAAAATCATTGAATTTGATTCACTAGATGCAGAGATATCACATCTTAAAAACACTACAAAATTATTCAAAATTGTATAAAATTTCTGTGAAGAAAATTGATTTTTGCAAATGTCTTCGTATTCAATAGACCAAATTAAATGAATTTGGTACCATTAGAAAGGTCTAGTTAAGGCATATCTAATGATATCAAAATCATTGAATTTGGCTAACTAGATGCGGAGATATCATATCTCAAATACAATGTACAAAATTGTATAAAATTTTTTCATAATTTTGTATGTTGTTTTTGAGATGTGATATCTCCGCATCTAGTTAGCCAAATTCAATGGTTTTGATATCATTAGATGCACTTTAACTAGACCTTTCTAATGGTATCAAATTCATTTAATTTGGTCTATTGGATACGAAGATATTTGCAAAAATCAATTTTTTTCACAGAATGATAAAGAAATTTTATATAATTTTGAATAATTTTATATAGTGTTTTTAAGATGTAATATCTCTGCATTTAGTAAATCAAATTCAATAATTTTGATACTATTGACTAGATCTTTCTAATGGTATCAAATTTATTTAATTTGATTTATTGTATGCGAAGATATTTATATTTCTTTCAACTGAATTTTTTTTCTTCATCTTTTGAAGTTTATCGCAATTCTGCTAGTATTTCAAATTTCTGATGAAGCTTTTTACAAACTGTGTATTATTTTTTTCCCTTTTATACAACATCAATATAGTATTAAAAATTTTTTTATAATAAACAAGTTTTTTCTTTGTTTTGTTTGTTGCATTATTTCTGACTGTTAATATTAAACTTTGCAAGTTATCAGAACTCAAATATAATTTTTTAATTGATTATTTTTGCAAACAGTTATATTATACCTCTTTTAAGAATCATTTTCTTGAGAAATTACTAATATATTACTGGTATTGAAGAAAATTAGAGGATAATCATGATGATATATTGTTTTCATAAAGCTAGATAAAAAGTATTTATTGTTATTCCAGTTCTTTTAACAGTATTTATATAGCAGAAGGTCTTTAACAGGTCTCTTCTTACAGTTATAAGAGGAGATAGTGGATCAAGTTAAGTTTATTATTAAGAAAGT